ACTAGGTTAGGGTAATAGCACCCATCTGCTCTTATTTTAAAGGGTGGGGAAAAGCAACTTTGAAACTGCCAGTCAGAACCCAAGTCGGATTGTTTTCAGAAACAGAGCAAAATCCTTCTGCCTTTCTTCCTTAGCCAGAGAGTGAGAAGCATGAAAGGAAGAGAAAAAGGGGGGAGAGGGGGGAACCATAGGGCAGCAGTGAAGGGGTGTGTTGTGAGACAAACTGTATTAAAGATTGCAAGATGCTCACATTGTATAATGATGTGGGCCACATAAGTGTTCGGACGGGCAGACGGTGAGGTCCCCAGACAGTTTCTAGTTCTGTCCTTATTTGTACATTGGTCGCCTAGATACCACGGTGATGGGAACATTAGAAATACCAATGCTAAGCAGACCTCACGTAGGCAGCATGGCGGTGACTGTGAACATGGCATAAAGCGTGACTCTCTGTGTCGGGACCAGTGTTGTGCGCTTTGATGATAATCTTTATCTCCACTCCTAATCAGGCAGCAGTGTTGAATAAACGTATCTATCTGGCCATGTTGGGGAGAATTAAATAAAGCCCTGACGGGCTGGCAGGAAAATCAAGGGCCAGGTAAGGCATTGTCAGGGTGCACTTATCACAATGCTGCTTTAGTGAATGCAGTGTGCTAATGACCCCTTATGGAGTCAATTAGTAGCATTATGATCACCCTGCATGAGGCTAGGACTGTAGCAGATTATGTCACTGGCCCAGGGCAGAAAGCACTGATGCCACAGGTATCTGACTTCACTTGTGGGGAAGAGCCTTTTTAAGTGAGGAGGAGGAAGGGGAGATGCAGTGGGAATGCCACCCCCTCTCAGCACTTGGCCACCCTGGAACTGGCACTTTGTCCTCCTCCCCTCACGATCAGGTGAGGCCAGGGGATTTGGGGAGAAGGCAAGATGACATTCCCCCTTCCTCTCCAGTCCCCGGTTTCCTGTTTCCTAGAAAGTGGGACCATTCAGGTCCCTCCCACTCTTTCTTTGTTTGACGGGTCTGACTCTAAACTGTAGCCTGGGAGGGGTTACCCCAGCAGTTCTTTTCTTTCATGCCTGGGAATGTGAAGAGACCTGGGTCCTCCAGCTGTACTGCTGTCAGGATCAGCAATCATAAGACAGAGAGAAAAAGGGAAGCTGCGACTAGACTGTTAATGATCTCACATCCACTGGGCTGCTGCTTTTGGTGTGTGTTGAGTCAGGCCACAGACGGAGGGAGCTTACTCCCCCCCCCCCCGTTGCACACTGAGGAGATCTGCGGCAGCGGGGCACCTTCTCCAAAGCTGCTTCTCAGTTCTGCTGGGAGAATGGTGCCAAAAGAATGGTGCTTGGGAGGCAAAGAGAGGGATTCCATCCTGACATCTTGGAGGATTGCTCTGATTCCTGAACAAACCAAAAAACTCTTGCCCATTCTGCTGTGTCAGAGGTTCCTCGGCTGTGCTCTCTGTTTGCAGGATTACTGACTTCCCCTGCTTCTACAGTGGAAAGGATTGCAGCTAAGCTCCCCCTTAAGTAGAAACCTCTGAGGGAAGAATTTCTAGCTCCTTAGACAGAAAGTGCCTTAACTCCTCTCCCAGAGTCTCTCCTAGAGTGGCTGGATTGTTTGTTCCAGCCCTAAACAGTTACAAAGCTCTTTTAATGAGGCTGCACAGATTAGGGGGAGGGGAAGGAAGAGAAAGAGTAGTGGTGGTGGTGGTGCTTGGGGGAAACACGTAGATTAACCTTTTCTCTTCCTCCAGAGAATAGCTTGCTGCACAGGATCAGGAGGGGGGCAGGGAGGGTGCAGACACAGCCAGGACGAGACAGGGTCCAACTCTCTGTTGGGGAGTGTTTGTCTGATTTCAGACCATGCACTCTTAGCAACCTGCAAATGGCTCAGAGAAACCTTTCCCTTCACCAGACCCTAATTCCAGGCTGCTTATGCCCCTCTTAAGTGCTGGGATCTCTTCCTTGGCCCAAGAGAATATAAAATCCATTGGAAAGAAATCATATTACGGAAGCAATGAGTAATTCCAAAAGCTAGCAGAGGAGAGAGCGCCCAAGCAGCATGACCTTCAGGCTCCCACCGAAGGGCGTGAGGCCTTTTTATCCCTGATAGGCTTTCCATTTCCAGTTGGCCCTGCTAGGGTACCTAATATTGTGGTCCCGTATGAAGCAAACTCCCTCCTTGCCAGGCAATTCTGCCCCAAGAGAATTGGGCACCAGGACAGGCAAAAGGCAGCATACACCAGTCAGAGAAGACAAGAGCACTCTCTTGAGTGTAGCAAGGCCCGTAGGGTAATGTGGGATTGTTAATAATATTGTTATTAATAATTCTAAGAAGTTCTTCTATAGTTCCAAGGGCATGGGGTGAAGGGCAGGCCAACTGTTGAACCACCTTCCTTTGAGTGCCAGCCGGTAGTCAGGAGCTGCTTGGAGAATTTATTTTGATCCAGTTTGTCCCACTTCATTCAGCATGTGCACAGATGTTGCTGACTGGTAGTTTCTGCTGCTTTTAAAAAAAATTAAATCACAGCTATGGGTTTGATTTTAAGTTGCTCCTAGCTTGGATCTGAGTTGCGTCTCCAGGTGCTGGTTGTGTAGGTTCCACTGAAGAAGCAGGTTGAGGCCATATTATAGGTGGAGAGTGAAGAAGAAGCTGCATACACCTGTTTTCTGACACCTGCAGGAGAGGTGGGGGAAGGGGAAGAGGGCCAGCAACAGAAGGGCTGCTTTGCTTCAGGGAGTAATAGACAAAGCTGAGATATAAAAGTTTCAGTACAGGGTAGTGTTCATGCTGTTCCTAGCAGGACATAACCTCCTCTAATAGGACTTTTGGGCCTTGTCGACTGAGCAGACTGATCTAGCTAGTGATTTCCTTCCTTCATACTCTGAGATAACTGATGCTTTTCTACTCTTGCTATGGCTTCCTTTTGGCCCATGGTCTTGTGGCACAGCATGGTTTCAGAGGACCACTGCCACATCCATTTTGTTTGTGCTGTTGCAGTGACCTTCACACTTTAGGAATGAAACTGTTCCTGGGATCTTCCTTTTAAACTGATAGAACAACCTTAACACATTGAGGTAGGGCAGACAGCCCCCCTGCCCTCAAGGCTGGATTTTCACCTTATCGCCAGAGTCTGGCACTTAATGACTTTAGGGATTCTGCAGGTCAGAGAGATGTTGGGGGGACTTTAGAGAGAGGTAATTGTGTTCAGCCTCACAGGCATAACTGAGAGAGGGGCTTCTTGAACTTTGTCAGTTCCATCTCTGCTTTCCTGTGAAAGCTGAAGCTTCAAGCTGCTTGGCTGAGTGATGTGTGTGCGTCTGTATAGAAGCATATAGTCAGCAGACCTTTGTGGCCAGCCTGACACTGAGCCATGACAGCCTGGCTGGGTTGGTGATCTGTCTAATGAAAACTCGGACATTTGTCTCTTTACACAGCTAAATACATTTACACATAGTATTTTGCTTTTATATGCAAAGCAACTTAATACAACTGACTTATGGCCACATCTGGGGTGGAGGACATTGCACAGATGATGTAAGGAGGACATTTCTCGTCCAGGATACCAGAGTGAAGCCTGATACTTCTGAAAGTTGCATTAGAGCTATAATGCTCCCATAGAGCAAAAAGGAGCTGAGTTTTTAAGGTCTCACCTGAAAGTGAAAACAGTTCTTAATAAAACACTGTAGCACTTGAACTCCCTTCCTCCCCCTGGTTCTGGCCCAGGTTAGTTATTTCCATTCATACCTCTTGCAGCCACACAGAAGTGTCTCTTGTCACAACAAAACAGCAGGAGTAATTTTTTTGTGTGTGTGTTTTTGCTAGGGAAATGTAGCAGAGAGAGCAGAGGGGCCTTGCTTCACAGCAGCAAATCAAAGGCCCAGAACTGTGGCCCCGTCATGTTGAGCTACACGGTGTCCTTCCTTCCAGGGCTGGGAAGCAGAAGTAGTCTGGTGGAATTAGTATGGGAGGGAGTGATGTAACACTTAATCAGTCTGACATCAGGCCAAATATTGACACCTTCGCATCTCAGCAGCAGACAGGCATACACCACTGAAAAAAGCACAGATGTCCTTTCATACCCTGATTCTTTTCTCCCCCTCCTTTCCCTATGCCACAATATGTTAATCTGAATCATTTACTTTTATAACAGAGAGCAAATTAAGAGAAGAGAGAGGAAAAAGTGTGTGACGGTCCCTTTAAAAGCAGTGCCCAATCTCTCTGCACTTGCGGGTGTGCTTTGTAACGTAGGCCCCTTTTTGAAATACCTTCCACTAACTTTCCTTGGAACATGAACGTGGACAAATCTCCCGGCGTATTTGTCATGTCAGCGTTAGAAGGTCACCAATGTTGTTTTTCTCCTCCGCCCCCAGCCCAGATTCGCTCTCTGTTTTTTGACCTTAATAATTTGAAATGCCTTTGAACAGTTAGTTTCTTTTTTATAGCAACGGTGTGCACTGAGTGAGAGCCTTGCTCCTCCTCCAAATGCCCCCCCCTCTGTCACGCACACACATATTCCAAGGGGAATTATTTTTGCCTTGATTCCATGGCCCCTGCCCTTCTCCACCCCTTTCAGCTCTAGCTGGGGTGTTATTTTTATTTCATTTTCTTCTGCTCTGAGGGCAAGAGGAGACAAAGGTCTCTCTGTGCCTGTCATGCTGTCACGAGGGGGGACACACACTTCACCTCAAAGGGAGCAAAAACCTTTCTGAATAACACCCCTCCTCCCTGCCACCCCCCCTGCCCAGAGATTCCCCTTGATACAGTTCCAGCAGGGAAGTCTGACACGCTCCTTTGTGGGGGTTTTATTTCTCAGGCCTGGGGAATGGGGGGCTGGGTATAGCCGCGGTGTGAATGAATACATCCGGATGCTGCAGTCATGCTTCGAAACATAGGGGGCTTCCAGCGGCTTTGTTGCCACAGCACTCTGGAGCCTGCCTGCAGAATCCCAGAAAGCTGTTCAGCTCCCTAACTGCCCCTGGGGACTGGGTAATGACTTTGTGTTTTGACTAATTTTCTGTTATCTTTGCAGTTGTCGCAGGCGGCTCCGACCCTGGGGGATGGGGAGAGGAAACCCAATGAAGGTGAGTGGTTTGCATCTCTCCTTTCAACAGCTACAGGGTTTACAAGTTAAATTAGGGGGAGCTCTCGGAGGTGGGGAAATGGAAATGGGGTGCTAGGAGCGGAGAGGGGGGAGACATTGAGCCAAACTGCCCAGAAGCTCTTGAGGACCAATACTGCCACCTTCTGGAAAGCAGGCGTAATTTGGGAGGGGGGCGGGGGGAAGAGAGGCGCAGATGCAGAAGGGGGAATGAGAGGAAACGTGAGAAATCCGACTTAACCCTTTTGTGGCTGCATGCCTAGCAGGGCGGCTCTTTCATTCAGAAAGCCTTTTTCTGAGCTGGGTGGGCTGGGCTGCTTCTCTTCCCATCAGCAGTTACTTTTCTGGAGACAGGCTGGCTGTGCCGGTGCAGTGGAATAAATTGCAGAGATGCTCATGAACCCATTTCACATTTCCCAGAACTCTGAGAATAAGAATAATAATAAAAAAATAGCCACATGAAAAGCTGAGTAGCTGTGAATAATTTCCTAGGGATTTGCCACAAGGTTGCAGGAGGGAATTTGTCATCTCTGCTGCCTGTCTCTTATTCTTCTCTTTCCCCTCTGCACTCATTGTGCCCTGCTCAGTGATAATATCTGATCATCAGACAACGGACCAATCAGCACCTGAATCCTTCTGAGACCATAAGTTAGCACATCCCAAAAAACCCAAAAAGAGTGCAAGAGAGAGAGAGAGAGAGAGAAGCAGCAGCAGCAGAATAGCCTGGGCTTATTTTACAGATTCACACTCTTCTTCTCCACAGATAGCTTGTGAGAGGGCTGTACTGCTAAGCACTTTATAGTGGTAAATACAAAAAAAGGCTCCCTTTTGCTGTCTGTGAGCTAGCTGGCCTGGTGAGGCTAGTAGCACAGTCCAGCTGCTTCTGTTCAGCTTGCTGCTGGGAGTGTAGTACTTATAGAAATGCTGGCAGAAAGAAAATGGGATGCTAGCGCTTCCCTAGCCATTGCTATTTCATATCACTCCAGCTACCCAAAGACCAGTGTAATAAGTAGTGGACCAGGAGTTCAGCTGCAAGGCTGAATAGGTCTGGTCTGTAGGCCATAGGTAACAGGCTATCAGAACTCAACTCTTGGTAGTCTACTTCTGACCTGTGGGTGGCTGTATATTTTAATGTATTGGCTTTTTCTCTACGATCCTTGTTTTCGAATTGGGATTACAGCAGTATGGACTTTGGAGCTTTAGGCTGATGTGGTCTTCAGGCACCTTTCAGACTCTCCAGGCGTTCTATGCTTTTTCTGCTTGCATGGTGGAGAAACCCACTGTCTTGCTGGGACCACCCACAGCTGCAGCTTGTCTTTTGCGTCATTTGGTTGGCAAGGGCTGACAGGTTGTGACCTTTGGTGTTGTTCCCTCTGAAGGGCAGCAGGGGGCTCTAGCAGTGCAGCTGGGGACTGAAGACTTTGCCACATTCAATTTCAATTTCAATAACTTTATTGGCATGGCAAGCTGTTGCCAGAGGGGTTAGTACAAGGTGTCCATTTTACATTGTCATCCATTTCTCCTTTGCTGGTGGACTGCCACATCCTGGAGCTTGATCCTTGCTCCAGTTGCAGTCAACAGCAAACATGGACTTCAGATTGATCTGGCTAATAGGCTTATTTTAGTGCCCAGTCCGTCTGTGAGAGAGAGAAACGAGTAGTAGCTACTCCCCTAGTCTGTGCTCTTTTATGCTTCTGTTCGTCCTGAATGGGTTTGGTCTAATGGTTAGAGCAGTGAGGGCTGGGAGTCAAGACTCTTAGGTTCTTTTGCTTGTTCTGTGATGCAAACATGGCTGTAATTAGACTAAAGCACTAGAGATCAAGACTCCTGGGGTACCTTCCTGGCTTGCCATGTGATCTTGAGTAAATCACCTTCCTTTTCCTCTTGCTCTTATGGTGCCTCAGTTTCTCCTCTGTAATAACAGGGTGATAACATGGCGCAACTCTACAGGGGAGATCATGCAGCTTCGTTCACTGGAGGTTAGTAAGGTCTTAGAGCTCTTGGAGTGAGAGATTTTTTTTTTGTGTGCACTTATTTTGCTCACCCATCTGTACAGCCATTTCAGCCAGGTTTATATTGGATGGACCTGAACCAGTTTGGGGTCTCTGTAATTCTAGCCCCAGGCTTTCTAGCTCTCAGATAGTCTTCCGCATGGTTTTGTGGCACAGGACGTTGTAGACAAGTCAGACAAATACTCTTTGTTTGCTCCACGAGAAAAGACTTTCTGGTATAAATAAAGGAAACCACCAGCCTTTTTGGCTGCATTTTTATTTTTAAAAGAAGTGTGTGTGTGTGTGTGTGTGTGTGTGTGTGT